ATTTTAGAAGGGCTTACACATTCCTCATCCCAAAACTTTAGGAAGATATCACATTGGATATATGAAAGTTTAAAAATAAAAATTCACTAATGAATAAAAGTATTTGCCCACAGTCCTTGCCATTCAGTAGCTCTGTGACATGGAACAAAGTTTTCAACCTACTTTATTCTGCTTTCTTGCCCCTCCCAGCAGAAATTTCTCATAGATTTCAAAAACAGTTTTGATTCTCTTGAGCAACTAATGGGTTGTTAATCCTAAAGACATTGTCAATCAGTGTACTGAGTAGATTGTCTTAATGTTGGCTATTAGAGGAGTCCTGGTGTTCACTGTAGGATAAGCACTGGACTACTAACCGCAAGGTTGGCAGTTTAAACCTACCAGCCACTCCTTGGAAAACTATACAGGGTCTCTGAATCAGAACTGACTCAGTGGCACAACAACAACATTGGAGAGTTCAGATCAAATGTAACACATCCCTGCCAAATGCATACATTTGGATAGCGTGCACTTTGTATAGTAACCTCAGTCTGGGCTCTGTCTAGTCTCCTTATGCTTATTTTCCTTGTAGCTTGATTGTTTTCACCTCTATTTTATTTGTTTTATTTTTGTAACATTTAAATTTATGGAAGTTGTCTTAAATTATGGGGTAGAGGCAGCCAATAAAATTGAAGATGCATACTTCTCAGAGCTATTGTAATATACATGAGTGATGCCTATAATAAGTATGACTAAGAGATATTTTTCCTCTGAATCAAAGAATGTTGGTTATTACTGCTTTGAACTGAGGAAAGTCTAAAGAGAGTTTGATTCTGAAGAAAGGTAAGGTTTCAAAAATGGCCCCATTGCCAAGTGCTCTGCAGTTTTTTATATCATTTATATAAAGATAAATGAGGAAATATTCTTTTTCTTTCAACCTTACATATGGTAAAATTCTGCTGTTATTCTATATGAAGACATCCATCCATCTTATATGGCACTCACAGCCATTTTATGTTCTCAGGGTTTTAGGATTGTATTAGTGAAGATTTCTGATACATATAACATGTCTTTGTAGAGGGTATTTTATAGGGTAGTTTCTCTGATTTAAATCATATGCTCAAAGAAACTAGAAACAGTTAACAAGTTTTAAATTTTTAATAATGGTGCTAATAATTTACTTTTAATACACCTTCAGTTTCTAAAAGAAAAACCGCATTTAACAGATAGAGGCTGTTCCATAAACTCATGATTCAAACATAATCACAACTAGTATTTTGTAAATTAACCACTTAACCCTCCATACTCTGTATTAACACATGATCTAGAACCTTCCTGTTGAAACTTGTTTTACCCTGAATTGTCCTAAAAACTTCAGTGGTTTCCATAGTCCACAAGTGTTCATCAGTAGGCTCCATATCCAAAAGGTGGCATGTGTGTGTGTTTCTATGCATGTGCCTGGTGTGTGTGTGTAAGGAGAGCCACAGTAAAGTCTGTTCAGTCCACCTCTGCCACTGCACCTCCCTACCATGTAACACTGTTGTTAAAAATTAGCAGCCTGTCCAACAGAAGATGCAAGTTCAGTGTTGAGCCAGATGACTGAGTAGAAACCATCGTGGTACATCAGAGAAGGAAACTCTCCCTCTTCTTATCAAGGGTATCCCATGATGCGTTGCCAGACTGTAAAGCCATTTGAGCTGCAAGGTCGACAATTCCAAGCTCAACAGCTGCTCCTTGGAAATCCTATAATGGCCGCTATGGGTTGAAACCAACTCAGCAGCACTCAATGACAACAACAGCAACAACAACATGGTGCGTTATGGTTGAGTTCTTAAGGTAGCAGCTGTTATCACTCAGCTCTTTGAGTGCACATCACAGGTGCCTCTCAACTGTTGTTCTAAGAGTAACATAAGCATAGAGTCAGAATTAGTGCTGCCATCAAGGAGTCCTCATGGGGTAGTGGGTTTAGTGTTGGCTGCTAACCGCAAGGTCCTCAGTTCGAACCTACCAAGTACTCCGTGGGAGAAAGATGAGGGTCGCTATGAGTCAGAACCGACTCGATGACACACAGCCAGCCTACTAGTGCTAACATCTGCCACCTAACAGCCTCAGAATCATAGTTCCCTAGCCACCATGAGCTTCTAATATAAATTTTGTATTTTAAAAAACAGAAAAAAATGCTCCCAGACACCTCTGGGCTATTTAATCATCCTCTAAGCAAGGTACCTCTTAGCAAGACTCCAGGAGATCTTACTCCTACCACCCTCCTGAGGACAGCTACTATGAGTAACACAAAGAAGATTCACCATGTCAAGGAGATTTCCCCAGTAATTTCTAAGGCGTTCATACCTACTCTTCTTAGAGGTCAATGTTCTATTACTCCAAGGTAATGTTATGCCTTTTGCCTCTTAAAGTGAGGAAAAAATGCATTTGCTATCTGGCAGGGCATCCTGCTAAACATGTGAACAGTCTCAAGTGGAGGAGCGAGGTTTAGAGGGTTTATATTGCAAGAACTGTGTTTAAAATGAATGAAATAGCCATAAGCAAGTAGACAAGTGATCAATTTAATAAAATAAGTGTTGGATGGGATGGGAAGACAAAGCCAGCTATTTCAACTGATATGAAGAATTCGGAGAAGATTCATCATATTAGCAGATCAAGGGTTACCAGAATAGAGATTTTCTCTTAATGTCCAGGATTTTTATTTATATAAACAATGTCTCCATATGAGATTTTCTTTCTCTTTCTGTTTTACACACCCTCCATGCCTTAAAGAAAAGAAAATATACAGCAGAACTACAGAATGGGAACATCTGGAAGCCAAAGTTGGAGCAAAGTCATTTCTTCAGCAAAGTGTTACAGAAGGATAGTAATCAGTCTTCAGTTTTTCTTACTAGCTTGCTTTCAGAGCTTATGGCACTAAGGAAGTGCCGTGGAAATCATAAAATGGAACCCATGATGAAGATTTTGACTGTGGATGGTTACAGTTAGAGTAACCCATTTAGAGTGGTGCCCCATTCAACTAGGGACTCTAAGTGACGGATCTTAAAAGCTCATGAGATGTTATACAAGGTGCAACTATTGGTCTCTTTCTGTTTGGAGGAAAGAAGAGTGATGAAAATTGAAAATGGTGGAAACAAGTAGTCCAGTGTATACTAACAGAGCACTGGACCATCAGTCTCCACCACCCTGAGACCAGAACTAGATGGTGCCTGGTTACCACTACCAACTGCTCTGAAAGGGATCATATGAGAAGGTCCTGAATAGAGTGAAAATGTGAAACATTTTCTCAAAGTCATAAAAAATCATTGAAAAGACCAGGCTTGCTGGTCAGGTACAGACTGCTGTAACCCTGAGATTGTAACCCTTGGTTACCCTGCAGGTCTGGAACTGAACTCACCCTACTGGCTCAGTTTACAGACAAGCAATAGATAGGTGTATAGGCAGCGCAACAACACTAGTGAGCTATGCATACCATAGAATAGTCACCCATTCAAGATCAAAAGAGCAGCATTTACTCACAGGCAACATTCAGAAGCTTGGGGAAGAGGAATGGAAACAAGACACTTAGGGAGAAAGTGGGATACATGATGTTACACTGAAGGGATTGCAGTCATTTCAATGAAACCAAGTATAAGACTTGTTGACTATAAAACTGATTCTCTGCTTTGCAAACCAATCAATGCACAACAAAAAGTGTAAAACAAAACAAAAACAGAAAAACAGGGACTCTTATCCTAACTTGGAATCTTGGTGGCTCTGTGGGATTAATGCACTGGACTGCAAAATTAGTTTGAACTGCAAGGTCGGCGGTTCAAGCTCACCAGCTACTCCTAGGAAACCCTATACAGGGTTGTTATGGGTTGGAACTGACTTGATGGCACTGAACAACAACAAATCCTAACTTAGATGGTGAGACTGCTAGATAAAGAATAGATTTCTTCTTGCATCAGTTTAAACTTGGTACTATAAATTGTGTATTAACTTGGAGTGGCAGAAGACTCATTAACAACCTGCAATATGCAGATGAAAGCAAAGAGGACTTAAAATACTTACTAATAAGGATCAAAGACCACATCCTTCAGTATGGGTTGCAACACAATGTAAAGAAAACAGAAATCCTCACAACGGGACTAATAAATAACATGATAAATGAAGAAAAGATTAAAGTCGTCAAAGACTTCATTTTGCTTGGTTCTACCATCAACACTCATTGAAGTAGCAGTCAAGAAATCAAATGACATGTGTTGCACTAGGCAAGTCTGCTACACAAGATCTCTTTAAAGTGTTCAAGTGCAAGGATGGCAGTTTGAGGACTCAGGTCATGGTATTTTCAGTAGCCTCATATGCATGTGAAAGGTGGACAATGAATAAGGAAGACTGTAGAAGAATTAGTACATTTGAGTTACGGTGTTGGAAAAGAATATTAAAAGTACCATGGACTGCCAGAAGAACAAGAAATCTGTGTTGGAAGAAGTACAACCAGTATGCTCCTTAGAAGCCAGGATGGTGAGAATTTATCACTCTACTTCGGACATATTATCAGGAGGGACCAGTCCCTGGAGAAGGACATCATACTTGGTAAAGTGGAGGGTCAGCGAAGAAGAGGGAGAAACCCAACAAGATAGATTGGCATAGTGGCATCAGCAATGGGCTCAAGAGTAACAATGATTGTGAGATTGGCACAGCACCGGGCAGTGTTCATTCTGTTATGCATAAGGTTGCTATGAGTCAGAACCAACTTGACAGTACCTAACAACAAATACCTGTTTGATGTAGATGTCAAAATATATTTCAACTTTATTTGAGATTAAGAATGCCTGTTTTTCTTGCCTAAAAGCAAGCTTCTTGAGTCTCATGTTTTAATATAATTTTGTGTTTCATATATGTTTTTAAATAACGTAGATGAAATTTATTCAAAAGAAGGGTGAGGAAAATTTTGATTGAGTGTACCAGAGCAAGTAGGTTTGTGTTGTTCTGCTCCAAGTGGACATGTGTGCTCAGTGCTTATTTTTGTGTTACAGGCCTTTCGAGAAGACCTGGAATGCCTTATTCAAGAACAGATGAAGAAAGGCCACAACCCAACTGGATTACTGGCATTACAACAGATTGCAGATTACATCATGGCCAACTCCTTCTCGGGCTTTTCTTCATCTCCACTCAGTATGTCAGTTTTGGAGAGTTTGAAAACTTAAAATTTGTACCTTTTTCTTGAAACACTGTATATCTGCTCAAATTTAATTAAGCTTTAAGCTTACAACATTTATCCTTAGAGCATCATAGGATTAGAATCCCATTTTCAAATTGACTAGGCATTTACTAGATGTCCCTGCCCTAGAAAAATATAATTTTTAATACTGTAAGTATGCAAAAATTAAAACTAAAAGCTAAATATAGAACAAAAATTACAAAGCAATTCACAAGAACTTATTTCATGACGTATTGTAAGTCACTATGCTGTTAGCTTAGAGGAGTTGATTACTGAATGGAGTACACTGAGAAAACTTCATGGAAGGAGAGCGGTCTAAACTAACCAGGCTTTGTTGTTAGGTACTATCGAGTCGGTTTCAACTCACAGTGACCCTGTGTAGGTTTCCAAGGCTGTAAATCTTTCAGTAGCAAAAAGGCTCATCTTTTTCCCATTGTGAAGCTGATGGGTTTGACCAAGCTGGAATATTTAGAACTTAATGTATGAGCAGGGCTTCCAAAAGTTTGTAGAAAAATTCTGTTATCTTTTAGTTCCATTTTTCAATGAACTCTTGAAGCCCCCTAGTCAAAGAGCAGATCCCTGATGTGGTGCTCTCTGTAGGATAACACTAGACTGCAAACCACAAGGTCAGCAGTTCAAATCTACCAGCTTCTTCTTGAAAACCCTACATAAGGTCACTCCATAAGGTCACTTATGTAGGTTTTCCAAGAATTGGAACCGACTCCACAGCACTCAACAACAATAAAAGAGAGGCAAACACTATAAGGGCACTAAGAATCATAAAGCCTTGAGCACAAGTACTTCATATTTCAGCAGTAGATTGTGTACAGAAATCACTGTAATAAAAGGGCAGATAAATAAAGTACCAAAGAAATTCATGTCTTCAAGTTAGAGATTATTTCAAGAACAGATTTGATGCATTTGACACTAATAACCGAAAACCATAGGAGTTCTGGGGTGACATCAAGAACATCATACAGGAAGAATGATGTTTAAAAAAAAAGCAGGAAGGAAAGAACAGACCAAGGTGGATGTCAGAAGAGACTCTGAAAATTGTTAATGAACATACAAAAGCTAAAACTAATGAAAGAAATGAGGTAAAAGCTGAACAGTATATTTTAAAGGGCAATTTGTGAAGACAAAGCCAAGTTTTATAATGAAGCCTGCAAAGACTTGGGGTTAGAAACCCAAAAGGGAAGAAAGAGCATGCTTAGCATTTCTCAAGCAGAAAGAAATGAAAAAATTCAAACTTTGACTTGTAATATTGGACTCCATGGTATGGTGCTATGGGTCAATGCGCTAGACTGCAAAGTGTGTTTGATTCGCAAGGTCAGCGGTTTAAGCTCACTAGCCACTCCTCAGAAGCCCTATACAGGATCACTATAGATTGGCATCGATTCAGTGGCACTTAACAACAACATGGGCAAACTGTTGAATGCTGCAGAGAGCATCAACAGAAGATGATAGGAATACATGGAGTCACCATACCAAAAATAAATGGGCAGTGCTTAACTACTTCAAGAAATAGCATATGAGCAACAACCGATGGTACTGAGGAAGAAGTCCAAGCTGCACTTAAGGTATCGGCAAAAAACAAAGTTCCAGAAATTGACGGAATACAAATTTAAATCAGCAAACTACTGCAGCACTGGAGGCACTCGCTCATCTATACCAAGAAATTTGGAAATAAGGCAGCTTACCTGGCCAACCAATTGGAAAAGATCCATATTTGTGCATACTTCCAAAGAAAGGTGTCCCAAAGAAGTGTGGAAATTGTTAAACAATATCATTTATATCACTTGCAAGTAAAATTTTGTTGAAAATAATTCAAAAACTGCTACAACACTACATCGACAGGGAGCTGCCAGAAACTCAAGCCGAATTCAGAAGAGGACGTGGAGCTAGTGATATTGTTGCTAATGTCAGGTGGCTCTTGGCTGAAAGCAGAGAATACCAGAAATCCGTTAACCTTGCTTTACTGACTATGCAAAAGCTTTTGACTGTGTGGATCATAACAAGCTATGGATAACATTGCAAATAATGGGTATTCCAGAAAACTACATTATGCTTATGAGAAACCTGTACAAACAGAACAAGGCTAAAGTCAGGAACTGTATGTGACAGGGCTGTTTACGTTCACCATACTTAGTTTGTATGCTGAGCAAATAATCGGAGAAACTGGATTATATGAAGAAAAGTGTGGCATCAGGATTGGAGAACTCATTAACAACCTGCAATATACAGATGATGCAGCCTTGCTTGCTGAAAGTGATGAGGACATAAAATATTTACTGATGAAGATCAAAGACCACAGTCTTCAGTATGGGTCGCACCTTAATGTAAAGAAAATAAAAATCCTTACAACTGGACCATTAAGAACATTTTGATAAATGGGGAAAAGATCGACTTAATTTGGTTTGGATCCACTATCAACACTCATGGAAGCAGCAGTAAAGAAATCAAATGACCTACAAAGTGTTCAAGAGCAAAGATGTCAGAGTTTGAGGACTAAGGGACACCTGATCCAAGCCATGGTATTTTTAGTTGCCTGATCTGTGTGTGAAACTTGGACAATGAATAAGGAAGACATAGAATGGGTGCATTTGAGTTATGATGTTGAAGAATAATAATGGAAGTATCATGGACTGCCAAAAGAACCAACAAATCTATGCTGGAATAAGTACAACCAGAATGCTCCTTAGAATCCAAGTTGATAAGACTGTCTCTCATACTTTGGGCATATCATCAGGAGGGACCAGCCCCTGGAGAAGGACATTATGATTGTGAAATGGAGGATTAACGAAGAAGAGGAAGATCCCCAACGAGATGATTTGGCATAGTGGCATTGGAAATGGGCTCAAACATAACAACAACTGGGGGAATGGGGTGTCGGACATCGGCAGTGTTTCGTTCTGTTGGGCATAGGGTTGCTATGAGTTAGAGCTGACCCAAAGACACCTAACAACAACACATGTCAGATTCAAGGAATGAGGGCAATGTCACTCCCTTTGGGTTTTGTTTTTTTTTTTTTTTTTTTTTTTTTTTGCCTTTTGTTAAAGATTTAAATTGGATACCAGTGAATTAAAATACTTTTCAAATAGTAAAAAGAGACACGATGGTGGAGTGAGAATATGCAGGGTATGTTTATAAAACTCTTAGTGGGCACATTAGTTAGAGTCCTGGGGTCAAAACTTAGGGGAGAAGTTATATTTAACTGAAAAGGCTTTCACTGTTGGACCAAAGAGGGCTACCAGTATGGGCAGGAGCAAAACCTTATGAAACAAGAGTTAATAGATGATAGCTTGAATGAGTTTGAGGAAAAGCAGAGATTGAAGTTAGATTAGTTAAGGAATTTGTTGAAAGAGTCCCCATGTGAGGTGTGAGTGCTTGAACTTGAGTGCTGGTTGGTGGCATAAAAAGGAAGACCAGTGAGAAAAGCGTAGCCAAGAAAGACTAGACAAGACTTGGCAACAGGTTGAATATGGTGATGTAGTGAAGAAGGAGATTTAGGGTAAGTCCCAAATGGCTACGTTTTCCAGCTTGTGGTCATCATGATGCTATAAGAAGAAATAAGAACAAGCAAGTTGCTTGCCCAGGAGCCATCAAGGCAAGTGGTTGGGTCCCCTCAGGGCAAACCCCCTTCCAAGACTAAGACTCAAGGGGAATACACAAGCAGGCGTGTGGTCTTGCTGGTGACCGCATTGGTCACCGATAAGGGGAAGTGAGAGAAAAACAGTAATGAAGTTGTGAGCTAAGTCCGACCACACTCAATAGACTCCTATGAACCCGGGTGGAGACATGGTTGGCCAGCAGTATGGCAAGACCTGGGGACTCCTGGGCCCAGGGACAGGATCATGGCCACAGAGGGCTAGAGTAGAGAGTGAAGCATCCACCTGATACGAATTGAGGGGAGAGGCACAAGAATGCCCACACTTGCATATAATACCCACTTGACCTGGCTTCAATGGCTGAATGAACAGAACTCAACTAGAAGAAGAAAGAAGAGGAAAAAAAGAGTAATCTAATATAATTTGATGAACTTGACCTATACCTATGGATGTAGTAGCTCAAAAGAGGCAACAAATCTTTACAGCAAGGATCATTCCCACCCCCTCGGTACACAGGCTAGACAGTGATGGGGTAGGGCTACCCAAAATGGGGTAGCCTACAAAGGCAAGAAGTGACTGGCTTACAAGTTTTCAGGAGGGGAGTCTACCTGGATCCAGAGGGTGCGGGGGAAAGTAGAATCTCCACTGAGTGGTATCCAATATGTCTGGACAGGGCTGATGAAAGGAGATGGGGATAAGACTCTTAATGGTACAATAGTGAATGTTTGTTATCAGGACTGAGTGTGAGGGTTGGAAATGTAAAGTTGATAGACGTTTTGTAACAAAAGGAGGGGAATGATTGACTTTGCAATCCAGGAGCAGAGGTCCCAGGGACCATCAAGGGAGAAGAGCGGAATGTGGGACCCTACCCAGAGAAACAGTGACACCAGAGATGGAGTGGCTGGGGACTCTAGACACCAGAGAGGGAGAGGGGCTGTGTGCTGACAACCAAGGGACAGGCTTGTGGGGTGTACCTTTTAGTTGTTTGATGGTGTATGGAGGGGATTGTAATCATGGCAATGAAATGATATACGATAGGATGAATGTAAAGCTAATGTTCTCCCATGTAAACTATCACATAATGCAAAAAACTTTTAAAAAAAAAGGAAAATCCAAAGAGTTATTTAATTTGCTTGCTTTTGTCTATAATATTTAAGCATCTATTATGTACCAAGCATCCTTTTAGGTACTGGGGTAACCAAGACAGGTAAGATTCCTGTTCTCATGGAAACAGAAAACACGAGTACCGAAATACATTAGAAAATGATCATCTAATGGGAAATGCTATGCAGAGAATTAAAATACTGAAATGAGATACAGATGTTACTTTCTAAGATTGTGGTAAAAGAAAACCTCTCTGGCAGGGGGTGATACTTAAACAGAAACCTGAAAAGCAGGAAAACGCCAACCATAGCAAGACAACATTCCCAATAGAGGGAACAACTAGTGCAAGTACCATACAGGGGGATTGGGTTTGCTTTCTTCAAGGAACAAAACAAAAACAATGGTCTACAGCAGGAGAAAGACCTAGTGATCTGCTTCCATAAAGATCCCAATCTAGGACAGCCTATGGGCACTTCTCTTCTGTCACATGGAGTTGTTGTGAGTTGAAGTCGATTCCATGGCACCACACAACACTCACAATGGTCTGGAACATGGTTTTCAGGGGAATATAGGGAGCAAAGTGAGGTCAGAAACTTAGGCAGGTGCCAAATAATGTAGAACTTCAGAGCCAGGGTTGGAAGTTTGGTTTTGTTCTATCTTTGATGGAAAGCTGTTTTAAGCAGGGGAGTGCTTTTCTTAGCTTCTACATGAAGAATGAACTGGGGGACTCATATTCAGTAGAAATAGCAAGGTCCAGAGTTGGCTTTAGTTTGATTTGGGAAAAGGAAGGGTTTCAGTTTTAGGCATTTGAGTTGCCAAGATATTGAAACAAGTTGCAAATGAGAGAGTCTTGGCAGGTAAACAAAGAGAAGTATTACTCAAAGCTATAGAAGTTAGCTAAATAACCATTCAAGAGGTTATAGTCAGAGAAGAAAAAGAAAGTAAAGAAGAAATTTCAAAAGTTGGGAAACTAGTCAGAGAAGGCAGAAATAATAAGAGAAACTGTCTTGTGAGTATCCTAGATCCCAAAGAGGACAGGGGAGGGACAGGGGGTTTTGTCTGGCTGCCTGGAATGTGCAAGGCATGGCGGCAAGAAAGCCATGCCCCAGTGTGCAGAGGTCAGGGAGTAGAAGCCAGGCCGTTTGGCTGCAATACTCAAGTTACGTTGCCTTATGCAATGTGGTTGTTAGTGTTGAAAGGTAGGGAGAGAAAGAAGAGATAACTTAATGGCTGACTCTGAAATTTTGTCAGCATTTAAAATCTTTTCTCTGTGGCTTCCATATTATCAGACTATTTCTGTGAATATTGCAGTATTTCAAAATGTGAAGGCCATACATTTAAATGTTGATTTGGAACTTCTTTTTAAAAGTTCTGAGAGCCCTGGACTCATCTTCTTACATGCGCACAAGTACTCGGGACTTACCTGCTCTCCAGTGACCCGCTGGCTGCACCTGGCCTGGGTTCTGCATTTACACCACCTCTCTGGCCCCTGTAGGCATTTCAGTGTGGGGTTTCTGTAAAACTTTGAGATTAAATGTGATTTAAAAGGAAGCTTGATCTGATGGCTTCATATAAAATGAAACTGCTAAGAGAGGGGCTATAGACAAGAAGAATGAGAAGGCTTACTGGCAAGATTTCGCTCAGGAAGTAAGGGCCTGAACTTGAGCATGGACATTGAAGAAAAGGCAGGATAGCTTCATACTACTGTTGGGTCACTATGAGCTTAAATCAACATGACAGCACCTAGGTTTCTGTTACGTTTAGTTTGTGGGTTTGTGAAGAGTGATGAAACTCAATGGTAACTTGCATATACCTACTGCCATCAAGGTGATTCCAACTCATAGAACAGAGTAGAACTAGGTGAATGGGTTAGAACTGCCGACCTATGGTTACTAGCTCAACCCCTAACCCACAGCATCACCAGGACTCCTTAAAATAAATATTGTTGTCATTGTTATTAAGTGCTGTCAAGTTGGCTCCAACTCAATATCAGTCCTGTATAGCAGGGGTAGGGAATCTTTATTCTGCCAAAATTTATAAGCATGATTAATTAGCAGGCCATACAAAATTATCAACTTAAAAATTAGCGTGCTATATTTGGTCAAACATGTCATTAACTCACCCCTAATGTGTTAGCAGTTCGAAACTACCAGCTGTTCCGCAGGAGAAAGATGAGGCTTTCTGCTCCCATAAAGATTTATAGCCTCGGAAACCCTGTACAGGGTCACTATGAGTCGGAACCAACTCCATGGCACATAACGACAACAACAATGTGATGACTGGAACTGCAGTTGCCTTGGTAGGACCAGATATTCCCCACCCCTGCTCTGAATGGTTTCTGAGGAGAGTCTTGTGGGTTTGAACTGCTGACCTTGTATTTAGCAGTACAGTGCTTATCCTACAGCACCACACCAGGACTCCAAATTACATATGGTAGCCCAGAAAAGGTTAAACAATAAAAGTCACTTCTTATTTGAGGCTATGTTGTTGTTGTTGTTAAGTGCCATCGAGTTGGTTCCGACCCATAGCGACCCTGTATACAGGGTTTCCGAGGAGACACTGGTGAGCTTGTACCGCCAACCTTGCAGTTCAAACAGCTTTGCAGTCTGATGCATGAACCCACAGCGCCACACCAAGGCTATAGGAAGTGTGTAATACAGTCTGTATTAGAGTAGTAAGGAGAGTGAGAAGACAAATCAGGGACAAATCTAAAAGTTATTTTAATTTTGATGTTATTGTGTTGTTGTCCATGAATAACAACAAGCTGAAGAATGGAAAGAGGGCCTGGTCAGTGAGGAATATTAGGTCTCTATCTACACACAAAGGAGTCCTGGTGTGGCGCTGTGGATTAATGTGCTGTACCACAAGGTCGGTGGTTCAGTCTCACCAGCCGCTCCTTGGAAACCCTATACAGGGTTGCTGTGAGTCTGAACTGACTAACCGGCACTTAACATCTGCACAGAAATCACAGTTGGAGGCTATAAGAGTACATGATGTTGTCATGGGGAACAATAAAAAGAGAAAAGACCATACTGGAAGACTGAGCTTTGGGAAAGAGACTGAAAGGAGGGAGGAGAGACCATGCAGAAGCAGAAAGAAGAAGCAAGTAGAAAGAGACCAGAAGATCTAAGATAGTATCACTTTGTCCTGGAGAAGAATTCTAGGAAAAAGGCTATACCAATGCTGGCAGTCTTCAAAAAGGTCAAGGAGAATGTAGACTGAGCAGAGATCAAAGTTAACTTGACACCTGGGTCATTAAAAACCTTCACGATTACTGTTTATTGTATGGTTAGAGCAGATGCCAGGAATGTTCGAATGCATTGTTTTCCATCTTAATAGTTTTTAATATTTGAATAAAAGTCTAAAAAGATACTAGAAAAGTTTTTTTCAAAAGCTTTTTCATCATAAAATTAGAAGTAACCTTAGTATTTAATAGCACTTTCACCTGTTTCACCCTTGTACTCAGGTAACCATCTCCCCTTAATGTCCCAAAGTTAGAGCCTTTGGTACAGTCACTCCCTAATAGGTACTAGATACATAACCTTTACCAAGTGGAAAAGACAAGTTATACTTACTTGTACTCTCATTGTACAAGTTCCTTCATTCTCTGAAGGAATATATGCTAATCAAATGTTGTACAGAATGCTAAGACACCACCCCCACCCCCCACCACCCCCACACACACACCCCGGCTCAGGTGGTGGCCTGTAGGATGTGTGAACTCTTTTCCAGGTAGGGAATTTATACAACTTGAATCTTTGTCCACAATTTCCCCTCTTTTAGGTCTTGGCATGGTCACACCAATTAATGATCTTCCTGGAGCAGATGCATCCTCGTACGTGAAGGGGGAAAAGCTGACTCGTTGTAAACTTGCCAGCCTGTACAGGATTGCAGACTTGTTTGGATGGGCACACCTGGCAAATACATACATCTCAGTGAGTTCTTTAGCTTCCTTTAATTAAAATCCCAAGTAGAAGGTGACTTTGCTCTTCTCACCTTGTTGCAGGAAATACTGTTTTCAGACTTCATTCTCTGAACAGAGAATTCTGGATCATAGTCTAATACTGATTTCCACCTTATCTCCGAGGGGAGAGGCTACACTTAATGCCATGGTTCTTCTCCATTTGCCATCTGTAATGTTCCTTTAATTCTGACCAATTGTAGAATTAATCCCAGAAGAAATTCTGATGGCAGATTCTTCCCTTTCCATCTGAGCTTAAGTGACGTTTATAAGAAGAACTGTTGTTGTTGACCCCGGATAGGGTCTCCGAGGAATGGCTGGTGAAGTTGAACCACTAACCTTGTGGTTCAAACTGACCTTGCAGTCCAGTGCATTATCCCACAATGCCACTTGGATAAATTAGAATAATACAGGGAGGTTTCCTCCCTGTAATACAATTTTCCCATTCTTATCTTGTTTCCATATTGCCACATTTGAAAGCAAGACAGTGTTTGCAATCAGAATGCTAGAACAGAGTGTGATGAAAGTGACATAAACGCACGGTGCTGTCGGCCAACAGCCTTTGTTTCCTCGTTCTTCCCCTTTCCATCTCCACCTTAGAATCCTGACTCTGTTTTCTATCCTCTTCCCATTTTGACCTTAATTCCCATGTTGTAAATCAAGGTTATAACCATTCCCATATAGAGTTAAATAATACTGGTATTTGTTTCTTATGAATGTAGCTGGCAGTAAGTCTCCTTTTAAAAAGAACAGAAAAACGACCTACTGCCATAGAGTCACTTCCAATTCATAGCAACCCTATAAAGGGTTTCCAAACTATCAATCATTACAATGGCAGAAAGCCTCAACTTTCTCCCATGGAGCGGCTGCTGGGTTTAAACTCTAAACCCTGCAGTTATCAGTCCAGTGCTTACCCTACAGCCTACTTGTAACCCTAAAACAACACTTTAGTGTAAGACAAGTGAATGGGAGACTAACGTTAACATTCTTCAGAAAGTCCCTGAGCATTGAGGAAAGACAACCTTTCAAAGAAAGTTTCATGTTGCTCACTCACTTTTGATTTTTGATTACTTTGTTTGTTTGTTTCCAGGTGTCATATATTTATTGTAAATATATTCCTAGTCATATTTACTGTGTAAAATAATTCCCTATTATTTTTCTTTCTTCTAGGTAAGAATAAGTAAAGAGCAAGACCATATTATAATAATTCCAAGAGGCCTATCCTTTTCTGAAGCCACAGCCTCCAATTTGGTATAATTTTCATTCCTATGTTACCATTTCTGAACTTCCTTGTATTTTTTTTTTTAATAGTTTTTAGTCTGAAAAAGAAAAGGTATGGATGAAAAAAACACCTACTAGTGAGCAGGAAATGGTTTGGGAAAGCTATGTTTATTTAAAGAAAGATTTAAGGTTCAAGAAAAACAGTAATTGAAGAGAGACTAATAAATTGGGTAACTGAAGAGACTACTAAATTGGTCGAATCAGTTAATCCATCCATATTTTGAAGGAAATCCTTTGAATTTCTTTCTACCCTGTACAGTTTAGAATTTGTTTTTAAAGACTGGAAAAAAGTATGTGTTTTGTAGGAGTCCCTAGGTAATGCTTGACTGCTAACCAAGAGGTTGTTGGTTTGACCTACCCAGAGGTACCTCAGAAAAACAGACTTGGCAACCAACATCTGAAATACTATTCCCATTGGAAATCCAGTGGAGCACAGTTGTGCTGACTTGATGGCAACTGAGGGAAATAAAAAAGTATGTGTTTTGTAGGTAAATTTGAACAAAGATTAGTTGGGATAAGTACACTTTTCCTTTCCATGATTATGCTACTAGCCACTGTTCCCATGCACAGCAGCAGCTACATTGGGTCTGGGTACTGAGGTCTTGCCAACTGGAAATTTTCTAACTCGTTCATTAAATGCTAGCCTGACCCTGATGTCCATGGAAGAGCCTTAGTGACTTCATTCCTCGTGCTAATATTAAGTTTTGATTCAGACTGTCTGTTTTTGTAATAAAGTTTTATAGAAACACAACCACTCACATTCTTCCACATACTGCTTCTGATGCTCTGGGGCTGCAGTGAAAGGTTATGTAATTGTACCCGTGGTTCACAGAGCCTCTTTACTACCTGGCCTTTTACAGAAAGTTTGCAGACTCCAGGCAACCTTAGATCTGTGTATCAACTAAATGTGTCTTTGTGATTTTTCCAGGTTAAAGTCAATATATTAGGAGAAGTGGTTGACCAGGGAAGTACTAATCTGAAAATTGACCATACAGGATTCAGTCCGCATGCTGCAGTCTATTCTACAAGGCCTGATGTGAAGTGTGTCATCCACATCCATACCCCTGCAACAGCAGCTGTAAGTTAGGGAGGTGCCCAAACCAACAATGATTCTGGGAAATGTCTTCTTTTTATGGTTTTCCTGACACGATGCTTTCATATCTGCATTCCATTAGACCCTGTCATTCACAGTCATATTTGAAATATGAACTCTCCACATACTCAGAAAGCAATATATCCTGCCACCAGTCTAGGAAACAACTAGGGAGCTGGCACTTGGATTTTTGAACTAATGAGTTTAATAAGTGAATCATTGCGTCCTTTGAAGTAGAGCTTCTGCCATAGTATTTGACACAGGAGTTAAATTGGGTTGTATCTCCTAAGTCCTTTTTTTTTTTCTCTTTCTTTTTTTCCTGGAACCAAGTAGGATCACTGAAGTGGTAAACATAATGAATACCTGGCTAAAAAGTCAGGTCCCTAGGAAAGTGTACACAATGTGTCATCTTGACATGGTGCCATTCATACAGGTATCCTCCATGAAGTGTGGGATCCTTCCAATTTCTCAAGAGTCCCTGATCCTAGGAGATGTTGCCTATTATGACTACCAAGGGTCACTTGATGAACAGGAGGAGAGAATTCAACTGCAAAAGATTCTGGGGCCAAGTTGTAAGGTACATATTAGAGTTTCTATCTAAGGAGCTATTTCTGTTGCTGCTGCTGTTGATGAAAACAGTGTGAGCTGTGACCGACTGTCATTTAAAATGATTGCTCTGGGATTCTATTTTAGGTGCTGGTACTCAGGAATCATGGTGTGGTAGCACTTGGAGAAACAGTTGAGGAGGCTTTTCATTATATTTTTAATGTGCAGATAGCCTGTGAGATTCAGGTAGGAAAAATTACTTTTTTCTTTTTGTTTTTGTTTTGTTTTGTTTGCTTGTTTATTTGGGTTTTGTTTTACTGCTTTTAAAGCCTTATCAGTGGCTTTTTGTTTTGTTCCTAAGAGAAGTTCTGCTCTTTTGTTGTTAAGTGCTGTCAAGTCGGTTCCGACCCATAGCGACCCTGTATAGCATTTCCGAGGAGCAGTGGTGAGCTTGAACCGCCAACCTTGCAGTTCAAACAGCTTTGCAATCTGGCACATTAACCCACAGCACCACACCAGGACTCCAGTTCTGCTCTACTTACATAAAAAGGGTCAAGAACATTATTTCTTGAATTGAAAATGTGAAGAAGGAAAAGGGAAATTCACAGACACACACATTCAAACCTAAGTGTCTCATAAAAGTAGTTTCCCCCCACAATCATTTTTAAGATATACAAGGGTGAATGAAAGTATTGCTACTAGTTTTCCAGTTCACATATTCATGGGTTTATTCCAAAGAAAACATGTCTAAACACGTCTCCACACTGAACGGATGGCTGCAGGCTCATTCTCTGAGTAATACACTTGTCTTAATCTAGTTAGGATGCCTTCAAAAAACAAAAGGATACTAAGAAGCATGTTGTGTGAAGATCAGCTTGCTCAAAGAGCTTACCTTTCCATCAGTGACAAGCCATTGATTCTGTTCTAACTCAGGGTGACCTTGTATAAGGTTTCCAAAGAGCAGCTGGTGTGGGCTGAACTGCCAGCCCTGAGGTTAGCAATCCAGTGCTTATCCTACAGTGCCATACCAGGACTCCATCAGTGTTTTAAACAAGATTAAAGCTAATAAAGATGATTTTATGCAGCAAATCCTAACAAGAGACAAGGCCTGGATTTACCAGGATGATCCAAGGCCCAATCAAAACAGTTTCTGATGGGATCTGCTGGGCCAGTTAAATTCAAGGTAGAGAGGTCACTCAGAAGGTTATGGTGACTGAGTCCTGAGATTTCAAATAAGATATGCATGGTAGATTTTCTTGAAAGACACAAGACAATCACAGGGACTTATTAGGAAAAAATTTTAAGAAAATTGAAAACTGCTTGGTGAGCAAAAGGCCAGGAAAATTGTGCCAAGGAATCTTTCCATCACAACAATGCACCTGCTCATTCTTCAAGGATAATAAGGGCTGTCTTATGAGAATTTTATTGAGAAACCTTACCTCATCCACCTTACAGTTCTGATTTTGCCCCTTCAGACTTTTTGTTTCCAAACTCAAAGAACTTTTAAAGACATGTCTTTAAAACTACCATTTTAATGTGGTGTAAATTGAAGCGCGTATAATTCTTCAGGGAAGGGTTAGAAAGATGGAAATACTGCTTTCAGAAGTGTATAGACCTAGATGAAGGCTAAGGAGCTCTGGTAGCGTAGTGGTTATGTATTGGGCTGCTAATCTCAAGGTCAGCAGTTCAAAACTAACAGTGGTTCCGTGGGAGAAAGATGAGGCTTTCTGCTCCTGTAAAGATTTACAGCCTCCGAAACCCTATGCAGGATCGCTGTGAGTTGGAACCGACTCCACGGCACACAACCACCATCCACCAGATGAAGGCTATCAAGAAATGACAGCTTTATATTTTGATATTTTTAATAAAGATGTCTTATTTAAGAGCATTGCTTTTTAACTTACCCTCATACATTTGTACATCTTTCTATTTTCGCTTTTTAATGATAGTGCTGATGTGATGCTGTGGATTAATGCTCCGGACTGCAAAGTTGATTTGAATTACAAGGTCAGCAGTTCAAGGTCACCAGCTGCTTCTTGGAAACCCTATACAGGGTCGCTACGGGTCAGAACTGACTCGACAGCACTTAACAACAATAACAATGATAGTGCTAAGGATCCATGATGATGCAGTGAGTTAAGCATTGGGCTTTTAACCAGAAAGGTCGGATGGTTTGAGCCCACCAGCTAGTCTACCATAGAAAAATGAGACAGTCTGCTTGTCAAAGCTTTTCAGCCTTGGAAGCCTGAGGAGCAGTCTGCTCTGCCCTACCGTGATGCTAAGAGTCACAATGGCCTTGTCAGCACTAGGTCTGGTCTGGTCATTGGGGGTGCTAATTAGCTGCAAAGAGAGGAGAAAAGAGGCAGTCCCCCATCAGGCAGCAGGGTCAGAAACTTTATGAATTCTTGCAATTACCAGCAATTCCACAGTCTCCTTTTTATAATAGGCAAGAGAGTTCGTTTGCTTACAGTTTTGGTAAGGGAATATCTGTTTTCCTCTAAGGAGCATCAGAGACCTGGAAGCTATCTTTTTCAGATACTTCCTTCACGAGAGTGCTGCCTTTTCTTTGTTTTAGCAGCCTGAGCAGTACTATGGTTATCTGTGGAATTGAAATTATGCCGTTTTAAAAACTAAAATATTCCTTCTGGTCTTCACAGTCTTGTATATTTATCTTTGATTACAGGTGCGTGCTTTAGCAGGGGCAGGGGGCGTAGACAATCTGCTTGTGCTGGATCTGCAGAAGTATAAAGCTTTCACTCACACTGTGGCTGCATCTGGAGGAGGAGGTGTGAATATGACTTCCCATCAAAAGTGGAAGGTTGGGGAGATCGAGTTTGAAGGGCTGATGAGGTCTTTGGACAATTTGGTAGGTGAAAAGTTGAACATAAGCTCCGATTTTAGGAATACTCCCATTTTCCTTTGGTTTGGGGATATGCTCCTTATTACTCCAAGAGCAGACTTGGACCCTAGGGAGGTGTTTTCACAAATCACAGAGTGGAACATAGGCAGATATCCTCTTAGACTTTATCCTTTTCCAAGAAGAATCAGTGACAACAGATTGCCTTAAAACACATGAACAGAGACTTCAAAGAATACTGAGATTTGCTTCCCGGAAAGCTACTTTAGTGGTAGGAACATTTTCCTGGTCAGCACTTTTGAAATTACCTTGGTCAGAAACAGTTGTATGATTGGAAATGGTTCTGTCTGCTGGAATCCATTTTAACTGGATCTTGAAACGCACTTGATTTCAACCCTGGTATTACATGGAGGTTATGTGGGTCCTGGGAGGGCTTTGCCTTTGTTTTGTTTTTTTAAAAAGAGCCTTAATAAATCATTTATTTAAATAACTAGGATCCAGATATCATCTTGGTAAACATTTGATGGCTTTAAATGTGGTTTTTTCCCTCTCTTAGGGGTATAGAACAGGCTACGCTTATAGGCATCCGCTCATTCGAGAGAAACCTAGGCACAAGAGTGATGTGGAAATTCCAGCAACTGTGACTGCCTTTTCTTTTGAGGATGATGTAGTGCCCCTCTCTCCTCTCAAATACATGGCACAGAGACAGCAGCGTGAAAAGACAAGATGGTTGAATTCACCAAATACTTACATGAAAGTGAATGTGCCTGAGGACTCGCGCAATGGAGAAACTAGTCCCAGAACCAAAATTACAGTAGGTCACAATTTTATGTCGTCTGTCTTTACTAAATGTCCAGTCTAATTACTCATGAGTTTAATGTTCTATATTAAAAACAGTGAAAATATAGAATATGATATTAATAGTATCACAAATAATTCTTAGGTATTAGGTTTGTATGGATCTTGTTCTAAATACTATACATTAATTATCTCATTTGATTTTCCTAATAATTATGAAGTAGATGCTGGTTTTTCTTCCATTTTATATATGAAAAACCTGAGGTACTAGGGGTTTCCCACTATATGATACTGCCCACTGCCATCAAGATGATTCCAGAGTAAAATTGCCCCATAGAATTTCCAAGGTTGTAAATCTTTACAAAACCAGCCTGACACATCTTTCTTCCACAGAGCAGCTGGTGAGTTCAAACTGCTGACCTTTGAATTAGCAGCCAAGCACTTAACCTCTGTACCACACCTGATACTGCTTTCTTGAAGTACAATGCTGCCTGTGATAGGATAATACACCTACACCTATAAGGAAGACCAGTTAATACACTGTTATTCAAATTTACACACCAATCTCTAAAGCCAGTGATGGTGAAATTACAGAATTCTACCAACGTCTTCAGTCTGAAATTGATGAAACATGCAATCAAGATGTATAACTAATGACTGGTGAATGGATGCAAAGATTGGAAATAAAGACAAAGGAGCATGGACTGCATGGCCTTGGTGATGGTAAAGCTGCTGAAGATCTCATGAAAGAACTTGACACAACCAGTAAGTTCTTCATTGCAAATACCTTTTTAAACAACATAAAAGGCAGCTATACACGTGAACCTCATCACCAGATGGAATAAGCAGGAATCAAATTGACTACATCTGTGGGAAGAAACGGTAGAAAAGCTCCATATCATCAGCCAAAATATGGCCAGGGGAAGACTGTGGAATAGGCCATCAACTGCTCATATGTAAATTCAGACTGAAGCTGAAGTAAATGAAAACAAGTCTACGAGAGCCAAAATATGACCTGTGCTGTCGAGTCGGTTCCAACTCATAGCAACCCTGTGTAGGGTTTCCGAGGAGCAACTGGTGAGCTTGAACTGCCAACCTTGTGGTTTAAACCAACACTGCAGTTCAGCACATTAAACTGCAGCACCACACCAGGACTCCAATGACCTGAACACATACCAGCTGAATTTAGAAACCATCTGAAGTACATATTTGATGCATTAGGCACTAATGACATAAGACCAGAAGAACTGTGGGATGACATCAAGAACATCATACAGGACAGAGAACAAAAATAAAACAAGAAAGAACAGACCAAAATGGATGCAGAAGAGATGCTGAAACTTGCTCTCCAGCATAGAGATAGGAATAGAAGAAATGAGAAAGTCAAAAGAGCTGAATAAAACATTTCAAAGGGCAGTTCGAGAAGGCAAAGTTAAGTATTATAATGAAATGTGCAAAGACCTGGAGTTAGAAAACCAAAAAGAATATGCTCAATATTTCTCAAGCTAAAAGAATTGAAGAAAAAGTTAAAACCTTTGACACACAATATTGAGATTCCACAGAAAATATTGAATGATGCAGAAAGCATTAAAGGAAGATGGAAGATATACACAGTCACTGTACCAAATAGAAATGGTCGATGTTCAACCATTTCAAGAGGTGGTACATGATTAAGAACTGATGGTACTGAAAGAAGTCCAGGCTGCACTAAAGGCATTGGTGTCAAACAAAGCTCCAGGAATGGATGGAATACAAATTGAAATGTTTCAACAAACTGTTGAAGCACTGGAGGTACTCACTCATCTATGCCAAAAAATTTGGAAGACAGCTACCTGGCCAACTGAGCAGAAAAGATCCATATTTGTGCCCATTTCCAAAGAAAGGTGGCCCAACAAAATGTGGATATCATCTAACAATATCATTAATATCACATGCAAATAAAATTTTGCTGAAGAAAATACAAAAATGACTGCAACAGTCCATTAACAGGGAACTGCCAGAAATTCAAACCAGGTTCAGAAGAAGACATGGAACAAGGGATATCATTGCTGACTTCAGATGAATCGTGACTGAAAGCATAAAATACCAGAAAGATATTATTTAGTTGGGCTTTATGTACTTTATTTACAAAAGCAAAGGCTTTTGACTGTGTGGATCATAACAAGCTATAGACAACGTTGTGAAGAATGCATATTCCAGAACACTTGTGCTCATGGGGAGGTACATAGACCCAAGAGACAGTTGTTTGACTTGAACAGTGAGATACTGAATGGTTTAAAATCAGGAAAGGTGTGTGCCAGAGTTCTGTCCTTTCACCATATTTATTAAATCTGTATGCTGAGCAAATAATCTGAGAAACTGAAGTATATGGAGAAAAGGATTGGATGAAGACTCATTAGCAACCTTCCTACCTGGAATCGAAGAGCAAGGAAGCATTTACTGATGAAGATCAAAGACCACCGCCTTCAGTATGGATTGTACCTCAATGTAAAGAAAACAAAAATCATAACATCATGATAAATGGAGAAAGGATTGAAGTTTTCAAAGATTTCATTTTGCTTGGATCCACAATCAACTCTCATGGAAGCAGCAGTCAAGAAATCAAATGGCATATTACATTAGGCAAATCTGCTACACAAGATTCTTTAAAGTGTTCAAGAGCAAAGATGTCAGTTTGAGGACTAAGGGACTCCTGACCCAAGCCATGATATTTTCAGCTGCTTCATATGTATATGTAAGGAGCTCTGGTAGCGTAGTGGTTATGAATCGGGCTGCGAACCTCAAGGTCAGCAGTTCGAAACTACCAGCTGTTCCGCGGGAGAAAGATGAGGCTTTCTGCTCCTGTAAAGATTTACAGCCTCGGAAACCCCGTACAGGGTCGCTAGTAGTAGGAACTGAATCCACGGCACATAACAAAAACAACAACATATGTATGTGGAGTCCTGGTGTGGCACTGTGGGTTAATGTGCTGGACTGCAAAGCCAGTTTAAACTGCAAGGTCTGTGGTTTAAGCTCACCAGCCACTCTTTGGAAACCCTGTACAGGCTCACTATGGGTCAGAACTGACTCCATGGCACTTAACAACAATAACATATGTATGTGAAAATTGAACCGTGAATAAGGAAGCCCATGGAAGAATTTATGCATTTTATTTATGGTGTTGAAAAAGAATATTAAGAGTGCCATGGACTACCAGAAAAACAAACACATCTGTGTTGGAAGAAGTACAGCCAGAATGCTTCTCAGAAGCCAGGATAAGTAAACATTATTTCTCATACTTCAGACATGTTTTCAGGCCCTGGACAGGGACACCATATGCTTGGTAAAGTAGAAGTCCAGCAAAAATAAAAGGAAGACCTCAATAAGTTGGATTGACACAGTGATGGCAGCAGTGGGCTCAAGTGTCACAACAATTGTGAGGATGGTGCAGGACGGGGAAGTGTTTCATTCTGTTTTGCATAGGATCTCTGTGAGCCGGAGCTGACTCAACACCACCAAACCAAAACAACAACATGGGCAAAATATTGAATGATGTGGAAAACATCAAAAGAGGATGAAAGGAATACACAAAGTATTGGTCGCTGTCCGGTCATTTCAAGAGGTAGCATGTGATCAAGAACAGATGGTATTGAAAGACGTCCAAGTAGCACTAAAGACATTGATAACTAACAAAACTCCAGGAACTGACGGAATAGAAATTGAAATGTTTCAACAAACTGATGCAGTGCCTGAGGTGTTCACTCATCTGTGTCAGAATTTTCTAAGCTACTTGGCCAACCAAGTGGAAGAGATCCATATTTCTGCCCATTCCCACAGCAGGTGACCCAATGTGGAATCGAGTAGTGGTATTAATATCACATGCAAGTAAACTTTTGCTGATTATAATTTTATAACAATTGCAGCAGTACATTGACAGGGAGCTACAAGAAATTCAAGCCAGATTCAGAAGAGAAATAAAACCAGGTATATCTTTGCTGACTTCAGGTGGATCTTGGTTGAAAGCAGAGACTACCATAAAGATATTTACTTGTGCTGTATTGACTATGCAAAGGCTTTCAAATGTATGAATCATAACAAACTATGTACAACATTGGGCAGAATGGGTATTCCATACCACCTCGTTGTGCTTATGAAGAACCTGTACATAGACTAAGAGGCAGTCATTAGAGTAGAACAAGGGAACGCTGAGTGTGTTAAAATCAGGAAAGGTGTGCCAGGGTGGCATCCTTTCACTATACTTATTCAATCTCTATGCTGTGCAAATAATCTGAGAAGCTGGATTATTTGAAGAAGAATATGGCATCAGGATAGGAGGAAGACTCACTAACAGCCTGCAATATGCAATTGATACAACTTTGCTTGCTGGAAGTAAAGAGGACTTGTAATACTGATGAAGATCCCAAAGATAAATGGAGAAAAGACTGAAGTTGTCATTTTGCTTGGCTCCACAATCATCACTTATGAAAACAGCAGTCAAGAAATCAAATGGCATATTGCATTAGGAAAATCTGCAGCAAAAGAACTTTTTGATGTGTTCAAGAGCAAAGATGTCAGTTTGATAATTGAGGTGTGCCTGACCCAAGCCATGGTATTTTCAGTCACCTCACATGCATATAAAAGTTGTACGGTGAATCAAGAAGACTGTAGAAGAATCGGTACATTTGAATTATGGTGTTGTCAAAAAATATTGAAAGTACAATGGACTGCCAAAAGAAAGAAGTACAGCCAGAATGCTCATTAAAAGTGAGGATTACAAGACTTCATCTCTCATGCTTCAGACATGTTCTCAGGGAGGACCAGCCCCTGACAAAGATATCAGTCATGCTTGGAAATGTGAAGGTCAGCAAAAAAGTGGAAGGACCCTAACAAGATGAATTGATGCAGTGACAGCAACAGTGAGCTCAAACAAAATTGCAAGGGTGGCACGGGACCAGGCAGTGTTTCATTGTTTTGTGCCTGGGGTCACTGTAAGTCGGAACCAGCTCAACACACCTAACAATAACAACAACATCAGACTGCTTCTTACTTTTCAAAGAACATCCTGAATGAAGCTCAAACTTTTTCAAGAATTAACTTTATTGACATAGATTAATGGGAATCCATCATTAATCATGGTGAATATTTGCCTTCCTTAAGGGTTATGATAAGGGGCAAATGAATGATATAACATCTTTCCATCCTCTGGCTGTATAATACTATATACTACCAGGTTATGTTGTTATTAAGTGCCATTGAGTCATTCCCACTTAGGGTTTCTGAGGCATGAGTGGTGGGTTTAACTCACTGACCTGTGATTAACAATCCAGTGTTTATCCTACAGTGTCCTACCAGGACTCCAGATTGTACCCTTTCTAAAATGTAGTCAAGAAGCTTGGCTTTTTCTTTGGTTTCTTGGTCATCATCCACTGATGAAACTTCAGTGCGAGAGACAGAAATCTGCATGTGAGCTCAGATGGCAGTGTGCTGTGTGCCTGTGTTTGACGTACTCTTAGCATCGTATTAAAGATGCCAAGATGACAAGGTTTAGTCAGTAGTATAATTGAGTATTCATGTGGATCGTTGTGGCATTTGTTCTTTTAAAAAGTGAATGCTGATTGTGTAGTATGAGATGTTGACTAATGACCACTGAGGTACCAATAATGACCACTAAGTGAAATTCTTTAATGATTAGCAATATATTCCTTCCCCCCATAAGACAATAAACAGTTATAAAGCCCTGCCTATGTTTTCTTAACACAAAGCTTCATACTAGACTGTTTTATGATTATTTAGTGGATGAAAGCAGAAGATTCCTCTAAAGTGAGTGGTGGGACACCTATCAAAATCGAAGACCCCAATCAGTTTGTTCCTTTGAACACAAACCCAAGCGAGGTACTAGAAAAGAGAAATAAGGTAAGAAATAACACAGTTTTATGCTGTTTTATGTTTTAATCACTAGCAATTGAATTTAATTAACACCAAATTTAGGATTTCAATATAGAAGAATCTGAAATTTAATTCAGTATCTCTGTATCTTGTATTGTTGTTGTTATTATGTGCTGTGGAGTCGGTTCCGACTCATAGCGACCCTGCACAGGGTTTCCGAGGCTGTAAATCTTTACAGGAGCAGAAAGCCTCATCTTTCTATCGCGGAACAGCTGGTAGTTTCAAACTGCTGACCTTGTGGCTCGCAGCCCGATTTGTAACCACTACGCTACAAGAGCTCCTTGTATTAAATACCTCTAATTGTGTGCTGTGTGGGGAAGAAATATTAAACATATTTCTGCTTTTAACCGTCCTCGTATTTCATGAAAATATGGTTCTCTAACAATATAAGAAGAGATCACACACCTACAAGAGTTGAGGGGTTTCATGTGAGTTATTAGGACGGTAAGTGCTGGGAATTGAAAATACTTTTGACTTCCTATGGGGTGATCACAAAGTAAGCTTTTAGGAAAAGAGAAAGGTCATCTTCCTTGCCCTCAAAGACCTTGTTATCACTGTGTTTTGTTTTGTTTTTTGAATTCAGATTCGGGAACAAAACCGCTACGACTTGAAAACAGCGGGACCGCAGTCTCAGTTGCTGGCTGGCATTGTTGTGGATAAGCCTCCGTCTGTAAGTCTGTGAAGCAACGTGATCATCCTTTTTAGACTGATATGCTGTCTTTACTTTTTCAAAGAAATATTTGGTTTTTACTAAGGTAATATGTTGTTAAGTGCCTTCGAGTCAGTTCTGATCCATAGCAACCCTGTATAGGATTTCCAAGGAGCAACTGATGAGCTTGAA